TTACCGATTTATAGACATTCTTTTGTATATTCTGAATGTTGATCTTTGGTCTGTTAGAACGGTTCTAAATATGCCTTGACTTGTCTTTGTACCTTTCAATTAATGGGAGATTTTAATATAGTAAAACTTGGCTTTCCTTTTGTGATTAGTGATTTTTGTTTAAGAAATTCTTCCTTTACTCCAAGGCCTACATTCTTTTATATTTTTCTCTACAGATTTTAAAGTTGAAGACTTTTAAGGCCTTAATTTGCTTGAATTTAATTTGTATGCTGTGAGACAGGGATGCAGTTTAATATTTTTATTTAAAATGCAGTTGTCCCAGCAGTACCTGAAAACTCATCTTTTCCTTGATGATTTGCAGTTCTAACTCTGTCAGAATGTTAATTTCCCCATGTGTGTGGTGTGTTATCGTGCTCTTCTTTTCAATGTTGTGTTTGTCTTTCCCTAATTAGATACCCACTGTCATAGTGATCATCCTTCTTAGTTGGGAGGGAGGGGCAATTATCTTCCTTGTTCCTCAAGAGAAATGTTAGCTATGTATGGTCCTATGCTTTTCTTCTATAGAAATTCTAGAAACTGATGTCATAATTTTGATTGACATTTCATGAATTTTTAATTAGGGAATAACTGATATGTTTAGGATATTGACTTTTCTGTATGTAAACGTTATGTTACTCCCTTTATTTAGAGCTTATATTTAAAACATTTTTCAGTAGCTTTATAATTTCAGGTCTTGTATATTGTTTATTAAGCTTATTTCTATATATATATATTTCTGATAAATATTTTGTTTTTCTAATTAATGAATTGATTAGATTGCATATCAATTTTTACCCAGCAATTTTCCAAACTCGAATTAATTCTTATATTTGGGGACTTGGTGGTGTTTTCTACTTAGACACTCATAATCTGTGAAGTTTGGATACTTGCTTTTCAATCTTAACGTCTGTTATTTCTTTTCATTATCTTAATGTGCAGACTAGGGCATGCAGTGCAGTGTTGACTAGAAGTTGTGCACTTATCTTTGCTTTGTTCCTGATTTTAAAAGGAAAAAATTTCAAATTTGATACCGTTAAATATGTTTACCATTTTTTGTAACATTTTATGTTTAGTTCTTTTAAAAGTGATGACTGGATATTGAATTTTATTGAATGCTTTTTTATTTTTGTTGATAAGGGGTTTTTTTGTTTGTTTAACTGTTGCATTGATTGAGCTGCTCAGAGCTCTACATCAAGTTCCTCCACCATTGGGCTTTGACTTAATTCTCCAATTTTATTTCCTTTGCCTTGTGTATGCATTGCCTTTTTCCATTAAACCTGAGGTTAACCTAATGTATTCATTAACTTGGAAACAGTTGCTTTTTGTGCCCATTTCTAGTTGGTCTATCAAAATGCAAGTTAATCTACAAGACCATGATCAATTTCGGAGCTATAGAAATCCTCCTTTACCATAGTGATCCAAAGCAATGTTTTGTTGAATGGATCTGAATTTAATTTGCACTTAGTCTGTGTCACAGCCAAATAAGCAGTTTCCACCTACTCTTTCTGTTTGAATTTTTGAATTTTATCTACCTAATTTCTTCCAACCATGTCAACACATTCCACTTAAAAGAGAAAGCAAATAATACACATTTTTAAACGATGCTCCATACTTAACACAGTGTCATATAGCTGTTCGATAAATATTTGTTTCTAAATCAATATTTCTAAGTAGGACATTTGCCCTAATAACTAAGCCACCAGGAAAGATATTGATCAGGTTAAACAGTTTGCCTTTAATCTGTAAAGTTTCTCCTACAACCATATCATTTTTGTTGGCATAATTTTCACTAAATTTTTGGGATCATAGAAGGAGTACTGAACTGGCAGTCGGAAGACTTGGGCATCTTTCCACAGAGCCTTCCTGTGGTGTTAGTGCTGTTTGTTGCTATTTGTCTGATATAAAATAAAAAGGAACCAAAAGCTTTTGATTACCTCTCAAGGGACTATAGTAACTTTGCTTAAAAGGATGATGATCTTTTATAAGTAATGCGCAGTTTTCCTGTTTTGCAAGGAATTATTTCAACATATGTGTTCAAGAGATAGTTATTGTCTTTATTGTAACTTAAACTCTAGTGGGAACAACTGTACTTCTCCAGCAACAATTCTGTGCCAACTGGGTACTCTACAGTGATTTCAAGTCCGAAGCTGCTCAGAGGTAGCTCAGACACTCCCCCCGCAACACACTCATTAAAGGACTCAGTCTCACAAGGTTGCACCCAGATCAGCGAGCAAGCACAAGTCCCAGGTGTCCCCAGGGCACCTGCATTTCTGCCTAGCTGACTACAAATGAAGGGCTTCCCACCACTTTGGTAGAATGTCTCTGTGAGGGCCTTCCAAGCACATCAGTGTGTCCAGTGCTCTAAAAGCTCCCCAGGCCTCATTATTTAAGAGTTTTTATCCAGGCTTCATTCCGTGGGCTTCAGTGATTATATTGTCCACTAGTGACTGGCTTTCTCAGCCCCTCCCCTCCCCCGAGGTCAGAGCACAGGGATGACATTTGTAGCTCTCCTACCAGGTGATTGGTTTTCCTGGCAAGCAGCCCCCAGAAGCTAGCTTCACACCTGACTCTGTCTAGGGGCCCCGCCAGAAGTCCCCTCATTAGCATAACAAAAGCACCACTATCACTTAAGGCATTCCAGGAGTTTGTGAATCTCTCAAAACAGAAAACTAGGGGGGAAAGACTAAATATAATTGGTTTACGCCAAGGATGTTCAGGCAACAAAAATACGTCCAATGGTAATGCGTGATGTTAAACAGTCAAGGGTCGTCTCCTGGCACGGAAAGGCCTAGTTCTGGTTGAGAAGTGCCTTCGGGAATGGCTCTGTCGGTCACATGACGTGATTCCCCTGACCCACTTCACAGTTCCGAATGTTAAATGGTAGAATTTTTGGTAGCCTCTACATAACCAGTAAAGGCCTAAGAGTCTCTCAAGAAATCATACTTAAAAACAAGCTATGTGATGATTCATGTTTTGCGAGGCCTTTGACCATGTTGTAAAGAATTGATGACATCCTGTTTCCAATTACCTGGAAGACCAGATATCAATTGCCATTAAGTTTGGAAAATGGCAGTCTTTGTTGCATGTGAACACACTTACTACAGTAGACTTAGCATTTATTTGAATGCCACTTTGAGACTTGTTTCTAGCCCTTGTAAGCGCTTTGTCCCCACCTTTGGTTTTCATAGCCATGGTGTGTTTTATATTTATATAAAAATAAAATGTGGCCTGGCATGGTGGCTCACATCCGTAATCCCAGCACTTGGGGAGGCCGAGGCGGGAGGGTTGCTTGAGCTCAGGAGTTCAAGACCAGCCTGGGCAACATAGCAAGACCTTGTCTCTACTAAAAATCCAAACTTAGCCAGGCATGACGGCGCATACCTGTGGTGCATACCTGTAGTCCCAGCTACCGGAAGACTGAGGCAGAAGGATCACCTGAGCCCAGGAGGTTGAGGCTGTGGTGAGCCGTGAACATGCCACTACATTCTAGCCTGGGTGACAGTGAGACCCTGACTCTAAATAAACAAATAAATAATCTTAAATCAATTGAAAAATTGCATGGTTTTTAACATGGAAGTAGACTCTTCCATTTTAAATAAGGTTTAAATACCTACAGTGTAGGTATTTTTGATAGCCTTTGTTTATTTAAGGAGATTGTTATTATAAGTATTCGTTGTTGTTTTGTGCTTTTCTGTACTTTATAAATCTAGTTCTCCAAAGTAAGAATTGAACAACCTAGTTTGCCGTGGCCATTTGAAAAAGAAAAATGGATGTCTGGGAATTATGGACAGCTGGCAGTCACATTTTCCACCTTAGCCCTCAGCGTCTCCATTAACTTCCCCAGTTTGTGGTCCATCTTTCATAGAAAGTCTCCTACAACAAACAAAGCTCCACAGTCAGCATCCCATGGGTTGAAAGTTATCATATGGAATCCCAATTTTAACAGAATCTCATGACAGAAAAGCGTAGTGTGGAAATAAAGTTTTACATTTGAGGGTTTGATAAGCCTTATGTTTTCTTTTTTTCTTTCTTTTTTTAACATATTTTTTATTTTAAAATTGTGGGGTACAGTTAAGGGTTAGGTATACAAATATGCATCATTCGGGCACCCTTGTTGATAAGGGGTATCCCCCGTCCCTAAACAGATATTGACTACCGTTAATCCCACCTCCCTTCCCCTCCCTGCCCAACCCCCCATAGTTTCCCACCACTGTCAGTCCTTTTCTTATAGTATTACGATAGATGTTCAAGGTCCACTTATGAGTGAGGACATGTGATACTCAGATCTTTGTTTCTCTGAGAGGTCACTCAGTATTATAGACTCAAGTTCCATCCAGGTTGCTGCAAAGTTCATGATTTTGTTCTTTTTTATGGCTGCATAGTATTCCATCGTGTTTATGTACCACATTTTTTTAATCCAGTCCTGTTTTGATGAACTGCGTGGTTGCTTCCGGGTTCTTGCCATTGTGAACAATGCTGCGATAAACATATGTGTGCAGTATCTTTTTCTAATTACTTGTTTTTTTCTTACCTAAATGTAAATTCTTTGAGGCAAGGGCAGTGCTTATTTTCTTTCTGGAGTTTTGAACACTAAATATTCAGGCAGTATTTTGTTGATTGTGGATGAGTAATTCAGTCATTTGTAGGAGTTTCTGATCCTGTAAAAAGACAATATTTGCTGTTCTGAATGCGTAATGATCATTTGTATACCTAACCCTGAATTGTACCCCACATCTTTAAAATTAAAAAATTAAAATTAAAAATAATGTGCTTGCTGTTAAATATATATATATTTCTTTAATGTAAATAATGGTTGAATTCTATTGTGTATAGCCAGTAGACTCTTTCTGTTGTCTGAATGTATACCCCAGTGCTCAATCATGAATACGTATTTGTGATTTAAAATGCTGTGCTCGTGGTTTAAATTTTTGAAAGGTAATTTGTGTTTTTTTCTTTTTCAGAACATTTTAGCTGACTCATCCAGGTCTCATGGAAGTTTGGTTCACCATTCTTCATTGCCATACGTCGTATATCCATCTGAAAAGCCTTTCCTTAACTGTGATCTGCGACGCTCCCCAAACAAGCCCACATTTGCCTATCCGGAAAGCAACAGCAGAGGTAATAGAACCTAATGAAACAGAATTCACTTTTGTGTCCTTCCTAATTCTGAAATTATAGGAAAGTGGATTTCCTCTTTCACTTCCTGTTTTTAGCTTCCTCAAAATATTGTGCTTTTCTTGAATTCTTTACGTTGATTATTGAATGTCATCATCCACTAAATCACCAAAACTAAAATACTTTGAGTCGTCTGTTAGGAACCAAGACTTGTCTTTTGCTTCTGAAATACCCCGAAAGCCTACTCAGATTGTCTTTTTGTTCTCATTGCTTTGGCTTGGGCTCTCGTCATCTGCCCCCTAGATGTTCGTACCGTCTGACTAACCTCTCTGCTCATCATTTCCTTCTCGTTCCCAGTCAGCAACATTTCTGTCGTTTGCCATCATGCATCCTCTCTCCCCCTTTAAGGAAAAATTTTCTGCGCCTCTCCATGACTCCTGTAAGAAATTTTAAAATTTTTCGTGGCCTTCGCCCTGTCTGCCTTCCCAGTTTCATCCTAGCTTCTCTTGTTTTTCTTTACCATCCTTTGCTCTGGCTACTTTAAAATATATGTATTCCTGGACCCTGCCATCTGTATTCATTTTCTTCTTACATTAATAAATTGTTGTGCATTTAGCAGCTTTAAATAGTACAAATTTATTATCTCACAGTGTTTTGTAGGTCAGAAGTCTGAGTGTGCTCGTCTGGGTCTTCTGCTGAGAGCCTTACAAGGCTGAAATCAGGGTATTGGCTGCTGGGAGCTATAGTCTTGACCGGAGGCTGTGGGAAAGATCTGCCTCCAAGCTCATTTAGATTCTTGGCCAGATTCATTTCCTGGCAGTTGCAGCACTGAGGACGTGTTGCCTTGCAGACTCTTGGTCGGAGACAGTCTTTGTTCCTAGACACTGTCCTCGTTCCTTCTCATGCTTTCCTGGTGGTCTCTTAAGCAGCAGGAGGTCAGGTCTCTCCGTGCTTCAGATCTCTCTGACTTCTGCTGTTAAGTTTCTCTGACACCAACTGGAGAAAATTTCCTGGGCATCTGATTAGTTAGATTGGGCCCACTCAGATCATCTGAATCAGTTTGCTAATTTGTTTGTTTGTTTGGGGTGCTTGTGTTGGAGTCCCACTCTGTCGCCCAGGCAGGAGTGCAGTGGCATGCTCACAGCTCACCACAGCCTCAACCTCCTGGGCTCAGGTGATCCTTCCACTTCAGCCTGCTTCGTAGCTGGTACTACAGGTGTGCACGACCATGCATGGCTAATTTTTAAAATTTTTTTGTAAAGGCAAGGTCTCGCTATTTTGCCAGGCTGATGTTGAACTCCTGGGCTCAAACTATCCTCTCACCCTGACCTCCCAAAGTGCTGGAATTACTATCCCATCCCAGAAGATGGTTTTAGTATTGAATTTGTTAATCATCTTTGAGATGGTTCTTCGTCTATAACTTTTGAAATACGCCTACTTCATACTTTGTGAAGTTTAAACGAATTGTATTTGCTTTATTTGAAATATTTTTTCATTTCTTTTTTAAAAAAGTCTTGCTTAATCATCAATATTGCATCAATTGTGTGTATTAATGATTTTGTAGGTAAAAGAAAGGTTGTATTTTAACCATATCATAGGTTAAGCAGGCATTTATAAATTAGAGACTTTTTTGTTTCAACTAGGATATGTATTGTAAGTATCTTAAAAATTAATATCAGAATGAAATTTTTATACACTGTGGACTATTTATATGTAAAATACCAGATAATAATATCTAAGTGCCAATATAAATCCTAGCCATAATTAGGACTCACAAGTGTTTGCAGGTCAGGCATGGTGGTTCATGCCTGTAATCCCAGCACACCGGGAGGCCAAGGTGGGAGAGGATCACTGGAGCCTAGTAGTTCAAGACCAGCCTGGACAACATGATGATACCTTGTCTCTACAGAATATATCAAAAAATTAGCCGGGTGTGATGGTACGTGCCCATAGTCCCACCTACTCAGGCTGAGGTGGAAGGATTGCCTGAGCCCAGGGAGTCGAGGCTGCAGTGACCTGTGAGTAGGCCTCTGTACTCCAGCTGGACGACAGCATGAAACTCCCAAACTCAAAAAAATATATATTTGCTGAAATAAATTTCGCCAAGTAGCATGGTGTCTTTTAAGAATTTCAACACTCAGTACTAACAAGAAGCCTCTTGTAAGATACTGTGACTTGATGATGATGATAAAATGTTAGTTAATGGTTAAAACAATTGATGAGATGCTGTGCATCAGCATATAGCAGTTAAAGGTTTTAGCAATTTCAAAATAGTTGCATGACATTTAAACAGTGTGGATTTAAAATGTTAAAAAGTAAATAACTGAAACCCACAGTGGGCAAAGATCAGTAAGTTTAAGTAATAATTTCTTATTTTAAAAACACAAAATACCTTTCCTTTCCCTGCTGCGGCTGCAGCCATGAGTATGCGCAGGCTTCAGAAGAGGCTTGCCTCTAAGTGTCCTACGGTATGACAAAAAGGTCTGGTTGGACCCCAGTGAGACCAGTGAAATCGCCTGTGCCAGTTCCTGACAGATGATGTGGAAGCTGATCAAAGATGAACTGATCACCACAAGCCCATGACTGTTCATTCCTGGGCTTGATGCCAGAAAAGCACCTTGGCTCACCAGAGGGGCAGGCACATGGCAAAGGTCAGCAAAAGGGGACAACCAAGGCTCCAATTCCGAGAAGGTGACCTGGATGAGGATGCTGCACCGACTGCCCAGAAGGACACCATGGGTCTTAAGATTGACTGCCATACATGCCACAGCCTGCACCTGAAGGGGAAGAATGTGTTCAAACATAAGCAAATTCCCATGGATCACATCCATGAGCTGAAGGCAGAAAAACCCTTCAAGAAGCTTCTGACTGACTAGGCTGAACCTCGCAGGTCTAAGACCAAGGAAGCAAGCAGACACATGAAGAGCACCTCCAGGTCAAGAAGGAGGAGATCATCAAGACTGTGCCAGGAGGTGGAGACAAGAAATAAGGCTCCCCGCTCTTGTCCACATCGTGGCCTTGGTGATTAGAGATCCCTCATGAAAATAAGATGGGCCTTTATCTTCTTGTCAGCGTGTGTGCTCACACACACACACACACACACACACACACTCACACTCACACTCACACACACACACTGGAGTGCGGGGGGCCAGCCCCTGCAAGTTTTGGGGAGTCCCTTGGAAGATGTGGTGGCATCGGCGAATCTGTAGGGACAGATATTAAAAGAAAGAAAGATGGAAGGATAGATATAAAGAGGAAGAAAGAGAAAGAAAGAAAGTGGACAACTGTTCAGTGAAATGAGCAGAAGCCGTTTATTGAAAGTTACAGCAGGTATTTATCCCCAAATTCTACACAGGCCGTCTCACAAGTCTTTCACATGAACACAAAGCCAGGTGCAGGAGGGGCATCCCCCACCCACCAGATGCTTAGGTGTGAGGAGGGACAAACCCCAAGATTGTTTTATTGTTCCCTTTGCTAGTTAATGTTCTTCAAAAGCAGTGCAGCAATCCTTACTAGCCTAATGATGCTCTGATAATAACTTCCAGAGCTCACATAAAACCCATGATGACTAACTTAAACTTTATTACCTTTCTATTCTATGCTAATACTACTCACACAATGCTACGGAAGCTCTTAGTTATAGCTTAAGCCAATTCCTAAAGAATGTGGCCCAGTCCAAAGATCACACCGGGTTCTACAGGATGTGGCCCAGTCCAAGGTCCACGGTGGGCCACCTTTTGCAACAATAGACTACAATCTCTTAACAAAATGGCTATTCTAAAGTCCTATATATCTATCCTAATTTCTATGAAAGTTTCCAATTCCTAATTCTAATATATAAAGCTGATTAGCAGCAGCAAAGCTTCTAAAACCTAAATATAAACTGTAAATGTACGAAGGCCAAAACCTTGATAGTAGAAAATGGAGACAATGAAATTTCTAAAGTTAACTATATTCTTATTAAACCTAAAAATATTATGATTGATTATGCTTGAACTAACATGATTCCTTGGCGTAGCATGACCTATTCTACAATACCTTCTATGAATAAAATAAATTCAATTTCCATAATAGGTAGAAAAAAGACCTTACACTAACTGTAGCTAAAGCTGGCCTAAAAGAATGCAGCCCAGTCCAAAGTACACTGGACCGCTCTTGATAATCATCTATACCATTGAAAAGCTGAAAACAGCTCTCCCTAAGTATATACTAATTCTACAAATATTCTTTTAAATCTTATAAAGAAGCTTATACCATATAAAAGGCTCCCAAATGTGACCTGAATTTGAATTATATCTAATACCTATGCCAAAACCACAGTTTATGGGAAACAGGAACAATGGGTTTCTAAAGTGAGCCATGCCTGTCACAGTCACAGAGCCTTCAGCTTAGGCCAGCAGAGTTCCTTTAGGTTGTTTGTGCTGCCTGGCAAAAGGGGGAGGAAAATGGGGTCTACGGCTCCTGAACACGTCCTAGCAGTCTCGGGGTCCACGGCCCTCCCTGATCCCTAACGCTCAGTGGGCCTCCATGGCTGGCTCCCAACACTGGAGTAACCATGTAACAGTTCTAACAGGAACACACAATCTAAGAATTAGATAGTCTTTCACTACAATATTATATTGAGTTCTCAACTTTACGTCCATGGAAATAAACCTTTTTCAAAGTTCAGTGTAAGACAAATTACTAATGAATGAACGAATACAAAAAATTAAATAGGCAGATGTATTTACAGTCAATAAGTGTTTAACCTAGTGTGTTACTAATAAAACGAATTTCTGCTTGAGTACAGAACTGATGGTTAAGCAACGAAAGAGAGAAGGGTAGGGAGGAAGGAGAGGAAGAGGAAAAATAAGAGAAAAAATAACGTGCAAGACAGTAAATATGCTTTTATGCCTTCAGAGCATGATGGTATGAACTGTTTAAGCAAAGCCTCAAGATAATCTTCATGATTAACCATACTTTTGCGGCATTTAAAAAAAAAAATCAACAGTGCTTTCAGT